AGTCTTAGAAGATAAATTTTATTAGTGAATGGATTTTGGAATTTTATAATGAAAACAACCAGAAAGATACATTTGGGTAATATTTGAAACTATAACAATGACTAAGTATGTTTTAGGTCCTGTTTTAAGCTATGTATAGACTTTCTCCATCACTTTTTATTACTTCTTTGTAGAATCCCAGAGCTGAAGGGACTCAGCCATCACCTACTCTGGCCTCTTCCTTTTACACAAGCCACTTTCTTTAGGATTCCTTCCTTCCTTCTTTCTTTCATTGGTGTTGTCAACAATTGGGTGCTGCAGCCGGAGATACAACAGTGAGTAGAACAGAGCTCTTGTCTTCACTGAGCTCACAGCCAAGTTGCAGAAATAGATAAGTAAGGAAGCAATTTTAATACTATATGAAAAATGCATATTAGGGGACTTAACCTGGTTTGGGGGGGATTAGAGAAGGAGTCCTGAAGGAGGCAAGGAGTGTGCTGATATCTAAAGGTTTGAGTAGAGCTTGAATAGATGAAAAGTTGGAGTGCAAAGAGGGCTCCAGGAAGAGGAAATAGATACACAAAGATAGGGAAGATATAAGGAGATCCTCGTGCTAGGGAACAGCACTAGTGATTTGTCAGGGCCAGGACTTGAACTGAAGGATGGTAGAAGATCACACGGACCATCCCTTGGAGGGCATCATGTATGATATCAGGGAGTTTGGGCTTTATCTGGGGGGCATTGGGGAGACATTGAAGGTTCTAAGGAAGGAAGTCATACAGTTAGATCTGCGTATTGGGAAGCTTACCCTTGGCTGCAGCATGGAGACCAAAAGGAAGGAGGAGCAAATGTGGAGTCAAGGAGACTGTGGCTGTTAGTCAGAGGCCCCTTTTGTGCTGAGGACTACACTTGTGTGAAATTCACAACAAAGATCCCCTGCTGAACATTGGCCCATCTCAGGCTTGGCAAGCCCAGAGTTAAGGACCCCATTAATTCTTAGGCAGAGCCTCAGAAGTCAGCTAAAGGCCTTAGGATTAGGGTTGTCAAGTGACATCCAGGGTCTGAGCTCTCCTACTCTCTTATCTCCTTTCCAGGGTTCTGCCCCAGAAGGTGCAGCTATTGCTTCAGCAGTAGTGGCTCCTTCTGATCTTCCCAGCCATGACCAGAAGGCAGCTCAGGTCAAAGGCAAGGGCAGGATTTCTCTCTCGCTCTCTTGTGCTCAGGGCCATCTCATACTTTGTTGTCTGTGTTGCTAAGGTGGTATCCATTTCTGCAGTATGAAATTTCTCAAAAAACCCCTTCACTTTCCACCCCCAAAGCTTCCCATCCTAACCCTTGTTTTCAATTTGCTTATTTTCCAATTCCTGCTATTTGAACCATGCACAACCTCACCCTTTGAAGAAAAAGGTTCCCAACATTTTTCATATAAATGTCGTAACAATTTGTGAACATGAGAAAAATGTGCAGTACTTTTTTAAAAGATACAGAATTTTATATTCTCTCCGTCTTTTAAGTTTTAATTTTAAGAATTCAGTCATCTTTGGAGTATGAAAGGAATATTTTCTCCTGCAGAGTCCTTTTAAAAAGCAAAAACTTATTGTTCGAAACTCACTTGACCACTCTGATATTTTGTGGTTGGTTTTAAAATATCTTTTTATTCTGTTTACACTCAATGAAAACACACTGGCAGATACAGAAAAGCATGAAGGGGAGAAATAAAATCATTAGTCACCCCATTGCCAAATAAAACATTTTAGTAGATTCCTTATATATATTTTTGTTCTATGCAATAATTTTTCTTTTTACAAAATTAATGCCATACTCTTTTACACTCTGCTTTTTAAAGATTCTACTATTTTCATTTAGTTGGCAATGCTATGCAAACAGGATTTTAAATACTTGCATAATAGGCCATGGTTTAAATATACCAATATCTCATATACTGGGTATACACCCAGGGGAATATAAAGCATTCTACATAAAGACACATGCATGTGAATGTTCATCGCAGCACTGTTCACAATAGCAAAAGCTTGGAATCAGCCTAAATGCCCATTAATTAATGACAGACTGGATAAAGAAAATGTGGTACATATATGCCATGAAATATTATGCAGCCATAAAAAAAATGAGATCATGTCTTGTGTGGGAACATGGATGGAGCTGGAGGCTATTATCCTTATCAAACTCACACAGGAACAGAAAACCAAATACCACATGTTCTCACTCATAAGCGGGAGCTAAATGATAAGAACTTATGAACACAAAGAAGGAAACAACAGACACTGGAGTCCACTTGATGGTGGAGAGTGGGAGGAGGGAGAGGAGCAGAAAAGATAACTATTGGGTACTGGGCTTAATGCCTGGGTGATGTAATGTTATGTACAACAAACCCCCTTGATACGTGTTTATTTATATAACAAACCTTCACAAGTACCCCCAAACCTAAAATAAAAGGAAAATATTTAGATCCCATTAAATAAATAAATAAATATATCAACAATCAGTAACTGCTGGCAACTTGGACAATTTAGTATTAAGTAGGCATTTGTGTTATTTATTAAATTATTATATACTCATGTGCACAATATTTATTATTTTGTATAAAAATATAAACCAAAAATGGCCCACAATTTTACCCGCTGGATAACCCTGATTGACATTTACAAATAATAAAACCCACATGGTTAGAAAATTCAAGCAGAAATCTACACAAATGTACAAAGATGAAAACCAGAAACTCCCTCTTCCTTCTGCCTCCCAGACCTTACCCCCACAAAAGTTAAAATTTCTTGTGATTTTTTCCAGATATATTTATCTATTTATAGATGTTTCAAATTTTATGCAAGAGATTATATGCTACACACTGTTCTGTACCTTATTTTATTCTCTTAAGAGTCATTCTTGGTGATCTTTGTGCAGCATTTCTTAAAGTGGTGCATCCCTAGCTCAATAAATGCATCTTTAATTCCAGCTCTGTCAGTCAATCATGCCTGCAGTATCATTGGCTCTTTTGCTGGGTTCTTAGATGTGAGATAAACAGATATACCACCCGCATGTCTCTGGTCTCCACCATCCCTATTTCTCCAGCTCGTAACCCCTACCCGCATTCCAGTAGGACCCTGACCCTCAGTCTCCCTAGTCTTTTTGGTTATATGAGGAGGCCCCAGGGATTGTGACATAAGTGCACAGCCACTTTTCCTTTGGTCTCTATTTCTCATGCCCAAAGTCCTTTGAAATTGCTGCCTACTACTGCCCCAAGGCTAATGTCCTCCTCTTATGCCCGCGGCACTGTCTCCCAGGGTGGGCCAGTGGATCTAATTAGTTTGCTCAGAACTGCTAAGGATTTGCATACACATGTGTACACAAATGTATCCATGGGTGTATTCAAAGTAATAACATACAGTCTTTCCAAGAGTCAGTCCTCTCAGCTGCTAGCTTCTTCCACATAACCAGTATCATTCTAACATATAACCATCCATATTCTTACTCATGTGTACTTTTGTGTGAACGTTTGTCTGGAAGGGAGGAAGCCTTTGTTTTGACTGGAGATGATTATGCCTTCTGAATTGCTGTGTTTTCCACGGAGTGGCAATGAATTTTCATAGTGGCAGCTGGATGGGAACACATTACATTTTGATAAAGAAAAAGAATAATTATTTGACCTATAACCTGAGTTTCTAAGTTGTCTATCTCAAGGCAGAAGAAAAAAAATGAATGAAGGAAAGATGGAACGAAGGATGGAAGGAGGCTGGAAGGAAGGAAGGAAAGAAGGAAAAATTCCATCCTTGTTAGGCCACAAAGCTTACGGGTTTCCATTGTAGTGGTTGAAAAAATTAGCTAAGGCCATGTCCTCCAGATTGAAGGTCAGCAGAGCCATTGTCTTTGCATCCAGAGCTATTTTTGAGGCTGCTACTGCTGCCACCTCTGTTGTCGTTGTAATCATCTCCTCCTCCTCATTACTACTGGGATTACTATTATTATTTGGATTACCATTCCAGATACATGCTAAGGGAATCAAGTAATCAAAAAATTTGTTTGAGTGTACATTGTGAAACATACTTTTGGAATGATTCCCTGAGAAAGTTGGGTGCAGAATGCAAATATTTTGAATGGACTTATCTTAGAGTTGTACTGCTTTTTTTCCTTGTCATTTTAAAACCCTTAATACGAATAAATTGTTTGTATAGTGGGGCTTTTTTAAATCCTTAGATAAGAAATACGTGGTTTGAAAGCAGAGAATAAAAACATGAATGATAATGTCCTCAATGCCCAGGAGAAAGTCCTTGCTGCTGCTCCTGGACAGGCATTATAATCGGCTATTTGGCGTGTTTATTTCAGGCTGCAGATAGTGGATAAAAGTGGCTGGTTGGTTGCCAGCACATGACTTAGTTGCCAAATGGAGTGTTTAGTACTTGTTACATTTGACTTATATCACAAGTTCTTCCCATTAACAGTCTGCTGGTGATAACCTACTTGGCTTTTCATGTGGTTACTTTGAAACAGCCACTTGACAACATTTGGCATATCACAAACTTTAATACTGAAATAAAGGAGTGAGTGAATGGCTACATGGGATCTGCCGTATACTGATATGGTGCTTGGTGCAGAATGGGCTCCCCAGGAAATGTCTGTTTAATCAATGAATTCATCTTGCATAATATTTCCCTGGTTCAGTGTACCAAGTTCAAGCCTATTGACCTGAGACCTAAAAGGGATAGAAATACAAAGAAATAATAGTGCTTACCTATGTGTCAGAAGGGCTTACCTTTGTATGGAGGGAGATACTCTGCTCCTCTGTATCACCATTAAATACAGAGAGTTGAACTATATGGAGAAATGAAGATGTCATCAAAATGGCCTTGAGTCTAACCTCAAAGTTTAACCTCATAATACTGACAATTTCTGTCATTTCAGGTCTTTTTTTTTTTCTTCTTTTTTTTATTGCTAGATCCACTTCAGGAATTTTGGCCCAGAATATGTAATCAAATATGCACTAAAATACTGATTTTTATTTTTAGATTGAAAACTTGCAAGAACAACTTAGGGATAAAGACAAGCAACTGACCAACCTGAAAGACAGAGTGAAGTCCTTGCAGACGGATTCCAGTAATACAGATACTGCACTGGCGACGCTAGAGGAAGCTCTGTCAGAGAAGGTGAGCATGCACTCAAAAACTGGGGAATCAGGATGTGGGGAAACAGAGTTGGGGAAAGTTAATCCAAATGCATTTAAATGTGCCTGCTTTTCTTCTTTTGCTAACACTACCTTTAGTCCCAGCTGGTCCTTGTTCTCCCCACACAAGCCCTCTTCAGTGGACTTGGCACACTACAGCCAGGGGCATTTTCTGAAATGCAAATCTGATTACATCACCCTTGGCTGTCCTTAAAAACCTTCACTAGCTTGCCGTTGCTCTTATGGTGACATAAATTGAAATCCTCTACCTGGCCTCCAGGGTCCCGTCTCCCATCTGATCTGTAAAGCCCCCACACTGTGTGCCTGCTCCCTCCCTCATTCTTTCTTTCATTTCCAGCCTCATCCGCCATCTCTCTTTTTCCAGGTTCTCTGTGCTCTACTTATGTGGGGCTTCCAGATTTTCAAGTGTACCATACTCCTTCCTGCCTCAGACTCTTTGTAGATGCTATTCCCCAGCTGAGGATATTCCTCACTCTCTGCAAATTTAATTCCTCCTCTTCTGAGAGGTCAGCTTCATGAGAATTTGTATTGTGCAGTAGTCAAGAATGTGCACTTTGGAGCTAGACTGCCTGGGATCAAATCCTAGGTCTGATACTTTCTACTGTGGACAAATTACTTAACCTCTCAGTTTCTTCATTTGTAAAAGGGGGTAATAATAGCAACCTTAGTGGATTATGTTGAGGAGAAAATGCAGGAAAATATGGAATGTGTTTAGAATAGGAGATGTAACGTTATCACTATTATTATTATTTTATCATTTCCTTAGGGACACCTTCTAGGTATCCCCATTATGTCTCAAGAACACCATAAACTCCCCAGAGCTCATGCCACATTCTTAATTATATATTTATCTGTTTTTAATTTCTCTTCTCTGCTAGACTCCAAACCCAAGAAACATATCCTATGTGTGTGTTACCTTTCCATTCCCTGTGCCCAGCATAACCTGCATCGGGGATGCTCACTCAGTAGTGGATACTGGTTGAGTGAGCTGCCGCCATGCGACAAGTCCTCTTTTGAGCCCTGGGATGCAGCAGAGAAGAAAATAGGTGAAAATCCTGGCTCTAACAGAGTTTAGACTGTAGTGGAGGTGATGGGGAGACAGATAATAAACAAGTGACATACCTAGGATTTCAGAGGGTAATATTTTCTATAAAAGAAAAGAAGGCAGGGAGGGGTACAGGGACTGCTGGAGTAGAATGGCCAGGTAGGAGCTTGCTGAGAAGGTGACATTTAAGGAAACACTTGAAAGTGAGTGGTGAGCCAGGAGCCCTTGTGGAGGGAGAATGTCCTGGCAGAGGGAAGAGCAAGTACAAGGGTGTGGGGGAGAGGAAGGGCAGCAGATTTCACAGGCCCTTATGAGACAAGATTTTTAAAAATTGTCTTTTACTTTGAAGGGGATGGGATGCCATCCTGAGGGTTTCCTTCTGACTTACATTTAAAGGGATTAATTTGAATAAAAGAATGAATGAATGAATAAAATCCTTTAGGCAAATAGCTCATTCTGATGTTTACTTACTTTTAAAATGATTTCTAGTCCATTTCATTCTGGCTAAATGAGTTCATTCATTCTCTGGGCACCTATCGTAGGTATCAGACCCTGGAGTTGAGTTTGCATATGCTCTCTCCTCTCCTCCAACACTTCCTGAATGTAAGAGCCAGTGCAGGCACAGTTCTCTAGGAATCCTCAGGAGGGACGGCTTGTTTGTTGGTTGAACATGGACTGTGCTGGCACAGTTTTTAGGCCCATGTTATTGGCATTATTCTCAAATTTAGCTTGAAACCAAGAAAAGAAATGTTAACTTTTAAAGTGTAGGAGTAGATTTTATTATGTTCTTTTTCTTTGTCTTTCTCATCCTTTTTGATTCTGCAGCACTTTGCAGGATTTGTCCATACATGCATAGGATGTTGTGGGGGTTTTCCTCTGGGATGCCCTACTAGAGTAGTAGATTATCTCCTATATTCCCTGTTATCACAGCCTGTAAACTCTGGGGTATTGAAGTAATTGGAAGGAGACCTAGGGGCCAGTCCCACCTATGCCACTAATTAACTGGAGAGCCATTAATTAACTGAGTGAGCCTGTCAAGTAATTTTCTCTCTCAGGGCCTCAAATTTCCCATATGATGAATGGGGGAATTAGATTAAATACCCATGGGTTTCCTAAGCCAGTGTATCCTAAAGAAGGCTTCTCTTCTGTTACTACAGAATTACCAGGAAGTCTCTGTTGAAAGTCTCTATTATTAGGCCCCATCTCTACCTACCAAATCAGAACCTCATAGGGCCTAGGAATCTGCACTTTAGCAAGTTCCCCAGGTCATCATGATGTAAACTGTAGTCTGAGAACCGAGGCTCTATGATAAAAGCCTGAAAGCTACAAAAAGATGGGTAAGCATATTTTTGGAGTTAAATTAAAAAGTTATTTAAAAAATAAAAGAAAAAAAATGAAGCTACAAAAAGACCCATGAGTCTAGAGCTAGTCTTCATGGTCCTATTAAAAATTGTAAGATTTAAATGTAAAACCCAGAACTATAAAAACTCTAGAAGAAAATCTAGGCAATACCGTTCAGGACATAGGTATAGGAAAATATTTCATGATGAAAATGTCAAAAGCAATTGCAACAAAAGCAAAAATTGACAACTAGGATCTAATTAGACTCAAGAGCTTTTGCACAGCAAAAGAAACTATCATCAGAGTGAACAGATAACCTACAGAATGGGAGAAAAATTTTTGCAATCTATCCATCTGACAAAGGTCTAATATCCAGAATCTGCAGAGAACTTAAACAAGTTTACCAGAAACAAACAACCCCATTAAAAAGTGGTCAAAAGACATGAACAGAAACTTCTCAAAAGAAGATATTTATGCAGCCAACAAACATGTGAAAAAGAGCTCAACATCACTGATCATTAGAGAAATGAAAATCAAAACCACAGTGAGACACCATCTCACACCAGTCATAATAGCAATTATTAAAAAGTCAAGAAACAACAGATGCTGGCGAGGCTGGGGAGAAAAAGGAATGCTTTTACGCTGTTGGTGGGAATCTAAATTAGTTCAACTATTGTGAAAGACAATGTGGCAATTCCTCAAAGACCTAGAACAATAAAGAACATTACTGGGTATATACCCAAAGGAATATAAATCATTCTATTATAAAGATACATGCGTGTGTTATGTTCATTGCAGTACTATTCACAATAGCAAAAACATGGAACAAACCCAAATGTCCATCAATGATAGACTGAATAAAGAAAATGTGGTACATATATATCATGGAATATTATGCAGCCATGAAAAGGAATGAGATCATGTTATTTGCAGGGACATGGATGGAGCTGGAAGCCATTAACCTCAGCAAACTAATGCAGGAACAGAAAACCAAACACTGCCTGTTCTCACTTATAAGTAGGAGCTGAACAATGTGAACACAGGGACACAGGAAAGGGAACAACACACAGTGGGGCCTGTTGGGAGGGGTGGGAGGGAGAGAGAGTGTTAGGAAAAATAGCTAATGCATGCTGGGCTTAATAGCTAGGTTATGGGTTGATAGGTGCAGCAAACCACTATTACACACATTTACCTATGTAACAAGCCTACACGTCATGCACACCTATCCCAGAATGTAAATAAAATATAGCAAACAACTAAAATGAGGCTTTTGTAAGAAAAAAATGTAGAGTTTGACATTGAGTTACCTTATTTGACATCATATTTAGTATGTATTCCCAAATTAATTTTGCTCAAAAAATCCATGGAGGAGAAACAGTTGCTGGTTGATAAAGTTATAAATCCTGTAACAATTTAAAACATTGAAAGATTATAACTTCAGGATTAAAGTATAAGAATTATAAGGTTTTACTTGAAAACTTACAAGACTATTTAATAAGATGACTTTTGGGGGAAAGATACTCTCTTTTCATCTTTTAATAATTTATTTCCAGGCCGGGCACGGTGGCTCAAGCCTGTAATCCCAGCACTTTGGGAGGCCGAGACGGGCGGATCACAAGGTCAGGAGATTGAGACCATCCTGGCTAACACGGTGAAACCCCGTCTCTACTAAAATACAAAAAATTAGCTGGGCGAGGTGGCGGGCGCCTGTGCTCCCAGCTACTCGGGAGGCTGAGGCAAGAGAATGGCGTGAACTCGGGAGGCGGGGCTTACAGTGAGCTGAGATCCGGCCACTGCACTCCAGCCTGGGCAACAGAGCCAGACTCCGTCTCAAAAATAATAATAATAATAATAATAATTTATTTCCAGAGCTCTCTGTAGTAGTTTTATTTGTAAAATTGGAATGAGGGGATGTTTGTTCAAAAACTATTAATGCTTATGTGTTCATTAGCATATTTTGGGTTGTATGATATCATCCCATTTCTGCCTCTTGATTTCTTTCTTAAAAATCACAGAAGTAAACATATACCATATAATTTTTCGTGTCATGAATTCTTGGCAGGATTTTATTATTTTTTTCTGGACCTTATTAAGATTTGATTTATTCTAGCTTAAATCCCAAAGTAATTCCCAAATCTGAAACTACTCCCTTTATTTAAGTACTTCCTTTGAGACTGAGGGGGTGTCTGGGAAGGAATCTGAGGTCTGTGGGAGCCTGGCCCCCTTGGACTGTCTTCACTGCTTAATAGTTGCATCACCTGGGCAAGCCTCTTCTCTCAGGGTCTCAGTACCTCATCTTCAAAATACACATTTTTGTTAGCTGACCTCTAAGTTTCATGCTGTCCTGGAACTCCCTTGACAATGAATTATTAAGTTTGCCAATCTGCAATCTCAGGCTCATGGCATCTGAATTGGACCATAGATAAGGAGTTGAGAACTTAGATGATTAGAAGGGCCAGGGAGGGAACAAAAATGAGGGATGTGGCTTTGCTGAAGTGTAGTAGGGACTACTGGTGACTGTGGTAAGCTGCAGGTCCCTGGTCTATTTCAAAACATTCAAGTTCAGATTTTTAAAAATTATGATGCTCAAGTCAAACAAAAGAGCTCTGCATACCGGCTTTGTGAGCTATTTATTTCCAAATTCTGTTTGCATCTGTTTTTTAACTTTTCATAGCAATGAAGAATAAAAGCAAACATAGAGCAATGGATGTGGAGGGAATTTTTTAAAGGTGCCAAAATCAGAATGCCTAGTGTATTTGAAAAGTACAGATAAAACCATTGAATAGGAACTGGCAAGGTTCTCTATCTTAGATCAAAGAATAGAAGATTTATTTTTAGTATTCCAGTATGCATCAAACCTTTGTGTGTATCCAAATAATCTTATCATCTAGGAGGTTTCTTAAAATACAGTTTCCTGGGTCCTATTTCCTAGAGATTCTGATTCAGCTGCTCTGCTGTGGAGCCCAGGAACCTCTGATTTGTAAACATACTGAAGGGTTCTGATGCAAGTGGTCAGAAGGCTACACTTTGAGAAACACTAAGTCTATGCTCTTCCATTTTAAGATGGGAAATGGGTTCAATGAGGTGAAATGACTTGCCCGGAAATAAAAATATTGACATGTACAGCATCATCCCCCATTTCTGGGCCTAGGAAGACATCGCTAATTAATCATGGCACATGCTAACTTCTCAACCCACTGCTCCTGGAAGCTGTTTCCACCCTGTCTAAGCTGGTCGTTGGTTGAGACTTTGCTGCCTCCTCTGGACTATACCAAGGCCACCTAGCTCACAGGTGATAGAATAAGACTAAAACTCAAAGATCTTTGTGCTTTTGGCAACATCACAATCTCCTTTAAGTGGAGTTGTGCTCACAAGTCCGATTTTTATCCACATTTAATTGCACAGATCCCTCTGTAACAAGGCATGCTGTGAAACAAAATGATTAATAAAAACTCATGGATTTTTAAGTACATTTAATTATTCGCTGTCTTTTGGCTGATGAAAAGAATCCATCAGGCAGTATTCACCATTTCCCCTGGATTATGGCATCCTAGGGAGTATGTTATTCCTTTTAATTTCCAGGAACTTATTCAACTATTAACAGAGTGCAAAGAATAATGCCTCTCCGTGAGTTAAGATTGAATATGACTTGGTTCTAGGATTGACACACAGAAGCTCAAGAGACGGAACCCACTGTATTTCTAAAGCTGGTCTCGCCAAGCCTTGCTGTAGCCACATAGCAGATAAGCAGTGGAGAAAGCCAGATAGTGGAGCTGGAGGCTGCTGTAATTTAGTTCCCACCCTGTGATAAAGCACAAATAGATTAAACCTGTGCAGAGCCAGATGAGTGCACAAAGAATGCTTGCCAATGCAAATAAGACTAAAACAAGAACACATTGTTGGAATTTCTGCAAGTTAGTTGTTAATCAAGTACATCATGGCATATTAGGGCCTTTTAACACATGTTTTTGACATCTGGCCCTGCGCGGCTGACAGTTAAATTGGTTTTGTGATTGACGGAGAAATATTTTGTAGTATTGAATCATCAATAACACTTAAAAACATTATAGTGCTTGTTGATTTTTTTTGTCATCAATGCCCAGTCAATAGTACAAGTGCTTAGAGCAAATCGACCTACTTTCCAAACGATTCTGACACCTTCTGGCTGTTAACATGCCTGCTTAATTTTATTACCTTTTCTTTGAAGCCAAGATGATCCCTCATTTGAGTTCTCCTTCTTTCCTTCAGCTCTTTTAATTGCTTGTTGTATGCCAGATGATTCGCCCAGCTGTGGGTCAAAAAGACTCAAAGGATTTTAGTGCTGCCCTCTTGAAAGTGGGGCTGGGAGGATGATCATGCGATGAAACCATGTGAAGGCTGCTGAGTGGGAATAAGTGCCACGTGGTCCAGCCAGAGGGATTCCTGGGAAGGTTTCCAAATAGTGAGGCGACAGGTCATTTTGGAGCTTTAGAAATGTCACTCCAACAGCCATGTAGTGGAAGTGATGGGACGGAGAAGTGACTGGGTAATTGGTTGTAGTGTAGACAAAAGGCAGCAAAGGCTCAGTTGCTGAAATCATTGAAAACTCTTGAGAGACTGACCACGTACTGTGGCCATTTCCTTCTCTTGTGGATCACATAGTCATCCACTCACCATTGTCACGGGTAGGTAAACTAGGTCTGGGATCAAGAAGAAACAAATATAGGCAATTAATTGATTCATTTATTATATTTCTGCCTCCTCTATTATAATAATATATTTCATTTAAAGTGTTTTTAAGTAATTGGAAAACAGTAATGGTACCTCCTCCGCCGAAAGCATTAGATACATAAATTATTGTCAGTGGGGTAGAACAGTTACTTCCTCAGGGGATTTTAAATCATAGGAGAAGTGTTCAAACTAACTTCCCTCTGCATTAAATACTATTTTACAGTTGTCTTATTTATCAGTCATTGTCTTGTGCTATGCAATTATTATAAGAATATAAAAGATAATACCAGGATCTTTGGCCACAGTTGTTGCACCAGTATTTTTTAACATGACCATTCGAGAGGAAGTTTAGATATGTGTTGGATAATTTCAAACTAATTTCAGAAATCTAACTCAAGCTTTACACAGATGGAATTTTCGTGTGCGTGTGTGTGTGTGTGTGTGTGTGTGTGTGTAAGTTTCTTACTTTGATATCAGGCAGGTTCCCTATTTTTGGAAAAGAAGTCTACAAAGCAGTGTTTTCATTTCAGTGTGAAAGTCAAAGGCAGACCTCCCTGAATGGCTCCAGGTGTATGTTTGTGGCAGTGTGGTCTCATGGATGTGGCTGACAGTCCGAGAGCCCAGGATGTGGGAGGCCTTCTGTTTATGACCTGGGCCACCTTGCGTCTCGAAGCTCTGGGTTTCCTCACCTCTACACTGTCACTAAGAGCACTGGATCTGCCCTTACACTTGTGATGAGGACTGATGAGGAGAGCGCATCACAGTGCCTAGCATGTAGTAAGCCCTCAATAAAATAAAGCTACTGCTGAACCTTGTTCAAACTCAGCCAGTGTTTTGGAGTCTCTACTGACATCAAGAAACCATTGACAAAACAGAGAAGTAAACATCCTCAGACACACTGGAAAATCACATACACATTGGGCTGATTCTTTGTCTGAAGTTCTCACAATGAGTCCCAGCTCTAAGTCCTGGAGGGTTTGGGTCCTGCCCCACTTCATTCCCATCCAGCCAGAGAACAGTCTTCAGAAACCAATGAAGGCTCTTGGATGTCAAATGAAGAGGCTAAGCAAAGAGGGCTGAGCCAAGAGGCATGTTCTGCTTCTCCTTTCCTGTGCGAGGCTGTGTCAGGTCTGGAGTCTTGGTGTCTGAAGCTCCCTCTTCTAGAGCTGCTCTAGAAATTTGCTGGATACTACCATGAACCAAGAGCAGCCACAGAACTTGAACATTAAGTTCCTTTGCAGCCCTGTGATGTTAACCTTTATTAACAAGTCAAAAGCTGTATTGGTTGTCCTTCCCAAGTGCTGTTACGCACAGCCTATCCCCATGAATCCGATTTTGAGTTTCTTGTGTGTGTTGATTCCTGTAGAGCATTTCTTGGATGTACTGCCTCTTGTTTTCTTTTGCAGTATGCTTTGGCATATACACTGATGGGTTCTCACCTCTTCTTTTTTGTTAATTGCCTTACAGGAGAGAATAATTGAGCGCTTGAAAGAACAGCGAGAAAGAGATGATCGGGAAAGACTAGAAGAGATAGAATCCTTCCGAAAAGAGAACAAAGACCTGAAAGAGAAGGTCAATGCTTTACAGGCTGAACTCACTGAGAAAGAGGTGAGTCTGGAAAAACAAATGAACCACATTGATAGTCCTCATAAACCCATATTCAGTGCAGCTGCAAGAGACTAGAGAGTTAGTTGGAGGCACTATATGAAGGCTTGGGGAATGTGGTAACTTTGCTTTTGTAAAGCTGCCTGAATTTAAAGGAATTTTTTTTTTTTTTGTAACTTCCTTCATCTGTGATGCCCTATGCCTGTCTTCTCTGCTCTGCTAACTATATACAATGTAGCTCCTTGAAACTTTTCTTTATGTCTTACCACATTTGCATGGCTTAAAGGATTCTATATTTTTCACAGGCCCACGATCCCTTGCTTGAGATAACAACAGCAGCGATGATTATAATAATAATGTCTCTACTTTATTAGAGTGTCTGCTATGTACTATTCCTTGTGTCGAGTGCTTTACATTCATTTGTACTTTTCAAAGGGAACCACCCAATTCCCTCAGGTTAGGAGATGTGGTACCATGCTGGACCCCAAGGTAGAGCTTAAATGTGGCTGCTCTTCTGGTATATTATTTTTACATTATAGTAAATAATTTAGAGCTGTATTTTTTTTATGCCATAGCAAACATGAATACAGAATATGAGTGCTACCTGTATTTTTAAAGTAACATCTTACACTTTAAATAAATTCTTGCTTGGGGCTTATGAAGAGGGTGCTTTGGGCTATTCCTCCATTCTTCAAGCGATTCCTATAACCCTCTGAGTTTTCTTGGGGATAGTTTGGTGGAGAAGTATGAGAAGCAGTAATTACACATTATTTTATTTAATCCTCACAACTCTGAGATATGTGGAGATTGCCTGCAATTGGCCCCTTTACACTTACTTTTGTCTGCTGTAACTGTCCATCTTCTTTAGAGCTGTCATAGACCTTTCACCCTGCAGGACTGTACCGCAGCACAGTTGTCTATCTCCCAGCTCCGCAGTATTTCCTCACTCATGGGGTACTGATAATTCCACACAAATTAAAGTCCTGAATAAATTAGGGATGTAGATGAAGAAGGAAAAGAATGGATGAGTAAGAGGAGTTTCGAGGAAACCCAGAAATAAAATCTGTATTTCCTAAAATTTAAACCTACTTATTTTTTAGAAAGGAGCTTATTTCTTTGTTACAAAAATAAAGAATGGAGTTCTCTTCCTAGCTTCCACTGCTGCTTCTGAGTTGGAGGATCTGTGATGCCTTAGTTTGTATGTGACAGAAGATAGGAAAGCTTTGATTTTGTTTATAGCATATTCTTCTCCAGTTGCGGGTGTTATTTGTGGGCTTGCACCTGAAAATCAATGTATATATTTCTAATGGAAAGAGATCTTGATGACGTGGTAGAGCATAAGCTGTAAGTGAAAGTAGTTTTGTAAATAATGCCAACATTGTATGACTTTCAGATAGACATTTTGGTAAACATTTGTTGTTTCTGCATGATGTGCTTGGCACTGGGCTGGGTGTGTCAGTCAGGGTTCTGCCAGAAAAACAGAACCACGTTAAACATTTTCTACAGATTAAGAACTTTATCATAAGGAATTGGCTTACACAGTTACGGAGGCTAGGCGAATTCAAAATTCACAGAACAGGCCATCAGCAAAAGCAGACTGGAAGGTCTCAGAAGCTGATGCTGCAATCAATAGGTGGAATTTGTTCTTCCCCAGGGAAACCTGAATTCTGCTCATAGGCCTTTCAATTGATGGGATCAGGCCCAAACAGAATACTGAGGATAATCTCCTTTACTTAAAGTCAACTGATGGTAGATTTTAGTCATATCTACAAAATGCCTTCTATTAGCAACTCCTAGATTAATAACTGGGGCCTAGAGCCTAGCCAAGTTGATTAAAACTGGCTATTGCATCCGGCAATTTAAAATTTATAAAGGAAAACAATATGCAGTTGCCGTCAGCAGGGAGCTTATGATTTAATTGGAGTGATGATAGTCTTCACCATGACAAAGTGACTGGATTATAATGTCCTTTCTTATTTCTGTGGGAATTATATAACAAAGGACATTGAAATTGGAATTGTAGACCTGGGTTTGAGACCTATATCTGCCTTTACTAGCTAAGAGACCTTTGACAAGATGCTCAGCTGTTGTAAGCCTCTGTTTCCTGATGTGAAAAATGAGAATGGCTCACCTGTTCCTCAGAGGGTTTTAGAAGCACCTTGCTGGATGATGGTGACTTTTATCATAAAGGTCATTCCAGTGCCAATGAAGCCACCCAGCATAAATTAGTAGCCGACATTGTTTACAGAGAGACCATTGTGTCCTTAGTGTCTTCCTAGGTGATGCAAATGAGTAAGAAGGAAATGCATGGAGTCTGTTTTGGGGTAAAACCTGTACATCTCATTCACATAGTTAGATGTTGCTATTTCTTATTCAATGACAAACATTGCTCTTTTAGGTTGCAAAGTTACGTTCAGTGATATATGCAAGTATTTATTTCTTTAGTTTTTGGAATTCAGACTATATGTGGAACCTGTTGGTTTCTGGACATGCTTAGTGACTGGAACAATTTAGGTAACCCCATGTCTGAGTTGGAAAGATTCATCACGTCTGTCAAATCTAGATTGCAAAGGACGTGAACATAAAGTTTACTCTAAATTTTAAAATAATTTTATGTTTGATTTTCCAGAAGATGTTTGTAAAACCATTGATCGTTTCTCTGTTAAAGAGATGGGATTTGATAAAAACGTAATAGGAGGCTTCTTTTATGTTTGACTTGCTCTTGGGAGCAGAAGCATTAAAGTCAGTATTTTCTTTCATATTTGTCTCAGAGTCTGCATAGTCTGACAGCAGTAAATGTAAATGGAAGGTTCAGGGTGTCTGTTTTGCTATGACATGTAAAGACCACCTTGGGACTTACATCATTAGCATGACTTTGAGACATGAAACATGCATTTACTGACCACACCATTTGGTCACATTTGATTCTACGGCAATTAGATCCTACTCATTCTGTAAGCTGGCCAACTTTAATTTCCTGACCAGAGCTGACTATTGTTACCTTAGTAAGATTATATTTACCCTTTCTGTCTACTGCACATTTTATTGCTATGTATAGAATCAATGTGTTCAAATTGAAGGCATTTCTAGTAGAAAGTTCAGTGTTTTACTCACTCACATTCTTTCTCTTTCAGTCTAGTTTAATTGACCTCAAAGAACATGCATCTTCATTAGCCTCTGCAGGACTGAAAAGGGATTCCAAATTAAAGTCTCTAGAAATAGCCATCGAACAAAAGAAAGAGGAATGTAGCAAATTGGAAGCACAGTTAAAAAAGGTAAGTGAAGTCTGAGAAAAAAATCATGCTCATTTAAAAATGAATTTATAAAATGGAACAGGAAGAGACATTTTTAAAAAGAAACAAACCCCTTATCTGTTGCTGTCTGCTGATAAAAGAATTAATTAAATACTCTTAACTTTATTGCTAAGAAGTCTATCAAATCTGTCTGTGAACCTGAAAAATTATCTTAGGTTTCCTATTTAAGAAAAACTTGAAAAATAGATGAAAATAGTAGCAGAAGTTAAAAATATTATAAAAACCAGCCATTACTCTCTGGGCAAATCTCAACTATCAATAAAGAAAAACAGAAATGTTTTCAACAAGTCGCAGAATCCGGAAGCCACATTAGATGTTAATAAACTTTTGCTACTTTCAGATGTAGGTCATTTTTTTTGTATTAGAACTTTGCAAAAGCTTTTCTGACATTGTTAAATTTCTAGAAGTTCACCAAAATTGTCAAGTCCCTGGCATCTCTGTAGAATGACTATTTATATTTGACCAAAATGACCTTACTCTCTAAGAAAGCTTATTGTAGATAGAAGGCTTTGGAAAAGAAATAGGATATTTACATGGTGGCATTAACATGTTTTCTCTGACCCAGACATTTTTGTGGAGTGCATTTCCAGTCATGCATTGTTACTTTGACTTTTTCCCTGTGTTGTTTGGTATGTCTGCACTCATTGTTCACATAAAACTCATAACATTATGAGTTTAAGCATTTTGTTTCCCTTTGACAACTCATAAACTTATTCAAAAGGGATGATAAGAATCTAAACAATCAAACAAAGTATATAATAAAATTTGACTATGTATAATTCATAGCACACCGGGATGGGGATTTATCGGCTAAAGTTATGAAAATATATGACATGGAGGGTCAAGGATGTGAAGGAATCGCATATCTGTGAAGGAATTACTCTGGATATCTTAAAATGTAATATACTATTTTGTATGATGCAATATATAACTGAAATATTACTATATGGTACTCACTTTACAGAGATTATCTAAGAAAGTCTACTTGCTAATACAGAAAAAGATAAATACACAGATCAAATCCTTTAATAACAAAACAGCAAGAAAATCTCTATATTGCAAAATCTGTTTCCCAATCCACTCATCATCTCACTTACTTCAAGCAATATTTAGTTAAGCAGAAATCTTGAACAATAAATAGAAGAATTTAAATTGCCCATTTGAGGGTGTTTAAATGGAGAATGACTTGGATGTGATGTATTGGGTATATGACATACATTCCTGATCTATATAAATGTGCTCTACAAAATGTTATCTATGATATGCATATTAAGGGATGAACTTATGAAAAATATTTTTCATTTAAAAAAATTTTGTGATCATAAGGCAGGCTCTAAGCTAGCTTTGTGAGAGAGAGAAATTCACTGGCTCCTTATGACCATCCTCTGCACTATTTTACTTTAGTCACAGTGTGCTGAGTCTCGAAGAAAGATGGCCTCAAATAGACCTGGGCATGAAAGATGTCCTCCACCTACTCTGATGAGCCATTGTTATGGAGATCAGGGGACCCCATTTATTATTTCTATAGGTACATGTTCGACACCCTCCTTTTTAGTGTAAATCATCTATGGGAATTTGAAATCCACTAGTAATTAAAAGGAAGAGATTCACATACTGATGCTTATAGTTTTCATGTCATGACTTGACTAGTTTAATCAATCAACATTTATGCAATTCAATATAGTTTCTTTCAACATAGCTGTGGTTTGCCCCGTGATCACTCAGAGTGTGCGGTTTCCTTTGACTCACAGGTAGACACCACATACTGAAATTCACAGACCAAATCCTGTAAACATTTTAGCATTATTCCTGACAGTATTTTAACATTCTACCAAGTCACTAAAATTAAAGTAACAAATATGGTTGTCTTGCTGTAAAGGACCTATTTCATTTATGAAAAGATAACTCATTTCTAAGTATATACATAATCTTTACTTATACTGTCTCCTAAGTGCATAGTGTAGTGAGTTTAAATAAGGTAGTTATAATTTAAATATATTTATGTCTAACCTGCAGATGCTATTTTGTTATTTTTGGCTGTCTAGCATTAACTAAATTCAAAAGTTTAAAATATTTTTTCAGTAGTCTTTAATTTCTGCTAATAAATAGTTCCGTAAAAACCTCAACTACCCATCACCTTAAAAAAATTGAGATCTACATGAAATATTTGAAAATATAAGCCAACAGTATGTGAATATACATATAAACACATCATTTACTCATGGAAAAATAAGCAGCTATAAAAGCTTAAGTGTGTCTGGGCCTCTTTTTAAATAAAAGGGTACGTGACTTGTGAATAAAATGTAAAGGTTTACTAAATGAAAGCTGAAAACATAATAGTTTTATTATGTCATAAATACACCAAAAATTCCCAGTGGAATTTTGCTCAAGGTTTGTGAGTGTCCAGGTATTTTTCCCATAAAATCTACACGATATTGTAGATGTGTGTCATTGAACAGAAACCTTGTCTGCCAGTGGCAATGAAATCCAAACGGTGATTTAAACTTATTTTTGTCTTATAAACAATGCTTGACATTGGTAAAGGGAGTTTTTACATAAAAGTCTGTGGAGAACATTCACACACATAATTACTTTAACCCTTTACTATACTATGTTAATTTAAGATGCCTTCAAATACTTCATGATGACAAATGCTTATAGGCAGAAAAGGAACTCCCTTATACATTCCATCCCACTATTTATAAATGTTCATGTCTGAGGACGTTTTTACTGATATTAGTGAGGCTGACAAAGTGATACTAACCAAATAATGCATAATTGCAAATTATGAGTGTGCTTTATAATTAAGTGCATTCATCAATCTTAAATAGATACCCAAGAGTTGAGAAGAGACTGATAATTGACGTATGGATCATTTTGTCTTTCAAAAGAGTATTTGAGGTTCAAAATGGGGGAGTAAACTTAGCCTATGTGACTAGAAATCAGTTGAGAAGCAATGGCAATTCAAAATATTATGATTTATGCTTTTTAGTAATTTTTCAATTGATATTATACTTGAGGAGGGAGTTTCTTTAAACCATGATAACATTGTCTTTTACTTCATTCAAGTTGAAGGAAAAAGTAATTGAGGCTCTTAAAAAGTGTGTCTTAGCTTGAAGCAAAGTAATAGTTTCTACAATATTTCACCTTCTACACCTTGACATTGAGCCCCAGATAAATAGTGCAGGTATTTAGAAAATATAACTTGAGAATGCTATTTAAAATAATATTCAGCATATTTAAATCCACAAAAATTTAAATCTTCAACACAAAATAGACAAGAAAATATTATAGATTCGAAAGCACTTGGAACACAATAGAATATCTTTGAAAATTATATTTTCTATTAATCTTGAGACAACAGTAGAAACTGGTAGTAGGCAATAGATAATACTGTATTTTGGTCCTGCTGATTTAAATTTTTTTCTTTTCCCGTTTAAGTTAATCCGATAAAGTCTTACTGGTATTTTGCTGTTGCTAACGTGCTGTTTGCTAATCTGTATTTTTCTGAAGATAGACTGAATAGAAAATTCAGGCTTGTGTTAATATAAAAGAAGAGCTATAAATTCAATGATAAGATTTAATTAATCTTTTATTATTACCATCTTTGAAGTTCAGGTAATAAATTGCAGACTTGGCCAAAAGTACTTCTTCTGATTCATTGCTGGAGGCCAGCACTTCATGTATCATCAAAAGTGGACAGCTTTCTTTATTTCATGGGTTATTTAACTCGAGAAAGGGAAAGTAACACAAACCTTAAATTTCTTATTCCAGCTATTCTTTTTTAGGAGCCAAAGTCAACATTTGTATTTCCCTAGAGCATCTCACTTTCACTGTGGAATGTTTAGAAACTGAAATTTCTTCTTTTTTAATGACCAACTCGTCTGTGCGAATGCACTGAATTTGTTGAGCTAATGCTGTTTTTCTGGATCTTTCCTTCTTTCCCTGTGTGTGCCTCAATGCCTCCCCAACTTTGCAATGTAGCAAGCTGAGCAGTTGTTCAATCAGATGTACAACCCAGTAAGTCATTTCTGAAAGTTCCCGCTGTAACATATCAAAGCATGAGGATCCATTGATCACCAGTCACGGTGTGCCATACTGGGGAGGTTTCGAAAGTATTTATGAGTTTCTTCCCCTTTCCGTTCTGTCAAAAGAAATGATCTGTGCTGAGGCCACTGCCATTTCTTATGAATGTGAAATTTAAAAATTAATAACTCAAGAAAATATTGCCAACTCTGATATTACTTCCTTCTTAACCTCAGCCCAAAGACTGTAGAAAAACAGAAGTCAGCTGAAGATCTAGGCTTATGGAACTCTTCCTTAAATCCTTCAAACACAAGCATATCTAGGCTGAAAGGGATAACAACTTTTGTAAAACAGCAAACAATTCAATGTTTTATTCAAGTGATAGAAGTTAAAACAGGTTTATATTTAAAAATAGGGCTATGGTCTTTGAGATTGGTAAATACCTAACATTACTGTGGATTTCGTAACAGTTAAAAGCATGCCATTTGGCTGAGGACAAACCATAATATAGTCTTCTAATAACAGATAGTAACAATTCCTATTATTCCTATTGTAGCTTAATAGAGTACAAAAAAAAAAAAAAAAAAAAAAAAAAAAAAAAAAAACAAAACCGAAAAAACAGGTAACTAGTAAAAATATTTCTAAAATGATCCAGGTGCCACCACAAATTTTTTTTATCCTAGTGACATGTGTGCATTTATTAATAGATGAAGCAGTTTGTTTTTAACTTATTAAAGAAGAAAAGCTTTTTTGTTCTGTGAACTTAAGTGGCTTACTGGGAAAATTTTTCTTAAAGGTGGCTAGAGTTTATCGTTTGGCAGATGCGATCTGTGCTATCATGCATTTTAATCACCTCCTATGTATAAATCCCCTTATGGAAAAAATGAATAGCATATAGATAAAGTAAACAATTCCACCAACAACTTTTTATTTGTTAAGCCACTGCTTCAGGATACATACAGCTTGAGCTGCAAGATGTTCAGGTGTACTTAGTTAGATTCGGCCTCCACCCTCCATTCTTTACAACACATTTTATTTTTGCAAACAGAATTCCTAAAACCCTACTGGAGCATCTTTGTTAACCTCTTTTTCAAAATGCAGATTTTAGCAGAGAAGCAAAAAATAATCAGTTCAAGTTCTTTTCCCTTAACGTTTGAATATAAGTGCTAATAAGCAGGCTCAAGACAGTGGAGATGTGAAGAAAGACAAATAAGGTTGGAATATCTTCAAGCTCGAAAACTCACTCTGGGAAAAATGAGTGTTTAAAAAATGTTGTTTAAAAAATGAGCGAAATAATTCCACCGCAGTTGTTTCATACTTACTAGTTAGGAACAGGAAGAAAACCAAAGAATGTCATGTTTTGGGTGTGTGCAGGACAGATGGGGAGAACCTTGTTTCTACAGCAGCAAAAATATAGCAGGACCGTGCTAGGAGTTCACTCTCCCTGTCAGGATAGGGAGGACCAAAGAAATAACTGTTAGTTAGCTTTTAGACCATTTCTAGAAATATCAGTGACATGGCATCATCAACTTTTACTTCACTTCACCCCAGTGGTGCATCTCTAATATGCCAGTGTGAACTTTTCAGTCTTTTCAGTGACTAATTCAAAAGTCATTGACTGACTTTTCTCCTCAAGTTAATTAAACTAACCCATTGGTTTGGCATCCCGGGAATATAGCCAAACTCTCATTATTTTAACTCCCCCGTCTCAGTGTCAAATTCTTTTTTGGACTGATAGGGATGCAGCATGATGGATTTTCTACCCTTAATTGTCTTTTAAAAATGACTATGTTTTTCTTAGTTATAAAAATAATATATGGTCACAGTTGAGAATTTGCAAACATATGGAAGGCTATAGAGGAAAATTAAAAAATAGCAGGACATCTCACAGCACAGAAATAATTGCTGGAACATTTGGATTGTTCTCCACCTAGACACATTTTTGTTGTTGCTGTTCTTTTTCTCTTTTTCTTTTCTTCTTTCCTCTCTCCTCTTGCCTTCCCCTTCCCTTTACTCCTTCTTTCCTTCTCTCTCTCATGTTCCTTTTTCTTTTTCTTATCTAACACTCTACTTCAAAGTGTTTATTTAGGTTTATATATATTTTTTTACATTATTAGAATTTTCTCATATAATGAACTATTCCTCCAAAATACTATTTTAATGTTTGTATACTATTCTACTCTATTTGCTTTTTCCCCTAATGTTGGTAATTTCTTCCCCCAACATCTTTTTTTTTTTTTTTTTAACTTAAGACGAGGTCTCACTATGTTGCCCAGACTGGTCTCAAACTCCTGGGCTCAAGGGATCCTCCTGCCTCAGCCTCTGGAGTTGCTGAGACTACAAACATGTGCCACTGTGCTGCCTCCTTCCTGCGCCAGTGATTTGAAAAGATCCCAATAGTTCCTACTATGTTGAGTTTCCGAGGAATTCTGCCAAAGCATGCTTCTTCCAGCACTGATTAAAGATGGCCTTTCTGCCGCACCCTGGCCAACATTGAGAATTGTCATTGTACATAACTTTGACACATGCTTAGGTGGAAAATTTTTTCCTTTTTAACTTTTCTTTCTTTAATTACTACTGAAGTTGAGGTTTTTCAGTACATTTATTAGCTTTTTGTGTTTTTTCTTATGTAAACAGTTTAAATCAGTTGAGCACTTGCTTTTGAGCTTACTGTTTTTTTCATTAGTTTATATGAGTTATTCTGTGTTTTATATAGAATTTTTGCCAGATTTGTGACAGTTTTATTTAGCTTAAATTTTTTTTATGTATATAGAGAACAGTTTTTAGGTTATTGACCTGCACTTTTTTTTAGACTTTCCTCACTGCCTTTATTCTGGAAAGTATTCTCTGATTTCACTTACCTATATTTAAAATGTTTTAATGTTACTTTTTATATCAAGTTAAGCCCTTTATCCATCTTTAGTTTATTTTTATTTATGTTGAGAGGTGAGGTTCTAATTATATTTTTCTAAGTTATCAACTGATTATCCAGCACCATGTATCAAACAGTTCTTTGTCCACTGATCTTGTTACTGTTTTATTGAACATGAAGTTCTCATTTGGGTGAATGTCTTAGTTTCTAAGCATCTGTTCAGTTTTATCGATGTCTCTAATTTATTGGGTCAACATTTTAACTATTGTGTCTTTATTATATTTTTAAATATCTAGTAAAACAAATTACACCTTAATTCTTTCTGCTTTTCATTTTGTCTTATTTTGTTTGAAGTTTTTAGCCTTTAATTGTCTATCATTCCAAGTAAATTTTAGGATCACTTTGTCAATTAAAATGCAAAATTGTTGATTTTAATTATATTTAATCTATAAAATAATTTTAGAATTATTGATATGTTCCCAATATTATTTTTTTCCATTCATAAACATGATCCAACTTGTATTTATTCCAGTGATTTTTTTACAGTGAAATTTTAATATTTTCCTGTTACAGATCCATGATATTTCTTCTTAAAGATAGTCTTAAGCATATCTATATATATTTAATTTTTAGGTTGCTATTGTGAATGATATATTTATTATTTTATTTTCTAATCAGTTATTGATAGCTAGGAAATTTCTTTTATTCTTGTATGTTTATTTTCTATATGGCCACCTAACAAATTTTTGGTGAATTATAGTATAGTTGTTTTTTGTTAAATAAGATAATTTTATAGTCAATTCTATGTCTGACAGTCTACACTACATTAGAGTGAACAAGGATTAAACTTCTAAGTGCTCCTGCAAGTATTATTATTTCTAGAGTAGAAAGGAACCTTTTACTTTTTATCTCCTTTTACTTTAGTCACTCTATTGCACAAAGTGATATCTAATGACATTTCTTAGGAACCTAAAATTTTGCCTTGATATCATTATTTTTCTTATAACCTTTCTGCAGCTTAACTATCATTCTACTCCTGGAGTTTTGTCTTATTATTGTAAACACTGTGCAGGTTATCTTCAGTTCTTTTTCTTCCCTTGATTCTTAATTCTAAACAAATAATATGTGTTTCATCAGTCTCAAATACCTTCTTTGCTGTAGCCCTTGTGGTCATTTTAGGCAGAGATGGTATCAGGAGTCTTTCAAAAAATTTTAATAAATCTCCAGACCTTCTGGGTCCCTCAATTTAGTGCTTCATAGAATACCCTTGTTGGTACAAGGCAAATGACTGATTTGTAGGCACTGGGCACAACCTTGCTGTTGGCCAGGGCACATTTGAGACACCTCTGATGTTCCCCACCATTGGGGCCCCCAATCCCTAGTAGTTATCCATTTGAAATCCTATCTCTTCTCAATACATATTTAGCAGGGTTCACATTTTACATAAGTGTTTACAAAAAACATAACAAAAGCCAAAAAGCAGGTATTTTTCATTCCAGAGAGATAGAAAAAATTCTTGTTAATGTTCAGTGAGGTCTTCCTGTTTTGTAGGTCATTACAGGACTGTATAATCCCAGGAACATAATGGGCTGAATTATAAATGCTTTCACAGTCATTGTTTGGATATAGCAGTTTCTTTTTATGATTTTTAAAGCCTATTTCTGAAAAGTATTTGATTCACTCTTAAACCAGTTATCTCCCAGCACAGTGGAAAGTTGCAACTATTTAAGAGAGAATTCCAGGCATGCACATAGCATGTGTAAACACATGCATACATACAAACACACACCCTATAATTGATCCATGCTTTCAGTGTCTAAAAAACTCAACTAATATTTGCAATAACACTCAACATTTGAAGCCACATGCTTTGTTTGAGGACATCCAGATAATTACCTCAGTTCTCCACATTGCTAATTTTAGGAAATCCCATAATTAAAAAGGTTTACATTAATAATTACAGTTTTGTTTGGGGAATCTTTAAAAGTATTAAGCATACAGTTGTTCTTTTGTGTGTGTGTGTGTGTGAGAGAGAGAGAGAGACACAAGAATTATTTTGAATATTTATTTGTATTTATTTATACATACCCTATTTGTTCCATCTATGAAAAGAAGTTTTTTT